GTTTTGTGAATTGTTATACAATAGCATCTTCGGGTGTCACAATACTATTGTTGTCACACTTTTATTATGACGCCCCAAAATGCTATTGTATAGCGAAACACGTGTCGGGGTTTCGTGAACTGTCATACAATAGCATCAATACCATACAATAAAATACAATACTATCGTGATGCCCGAAGATGTTATTGTATTGCGAAACACGTAAAGTGGTTTTATAAGATGCTGTTGTCAGATGCTTTTGTCACAATACGATTGTGACGCCCGATGATGCTATTTTATAGCATACAATAGCATCAATAGCATACAATGCATACAATAGCTATACAATAGCATCTTCGGGTGTCACAATACTATTGTGTCGCCCGAAGATGCTATTGTATAGCGAAACAAGTGTCGTGGTTTTGTAAACTGTCAAGTGGAAATCTCACATTATTGAATACGACATTCATATAAATTGCTGCTTTTTTATTATCATCTGATTTGATGAAAAATTTCGGTCCAAAATAGAGCTCAAAATGCCGATCATCCCCCACTTTTTGATGAAATCAAAACTTGAGCAAATATAATGACCCCAAAAATAATGCAATAATTAGAGACCACCTTCGATACATGAAAGGTTTTACAATTGAGATTTTAATTACTTGTAATTAGCTCTGAACGGTTGAAAAAGTTATCCAACGTCAATATACGGAATTACGAAATATTTCATTAGAAGGTGTCCGATTCGTGGAACAATTATTGATACTAAGGTTATTTCAATGAATTCTTTAAGATAATTTTCTGCGTATCGGAAAGTGTAGAGAAAATAATGAAAAGTGTAGAGAAAATAATGAAAAGTGTAGAGAAAATAATGAAATGTGTAGTTAAATAGTATGTATCATATCATTTTATTTTTCGAGCTATTTTTGTAAAGATACCGTTGCAAATCATAATTCAGTAAACCAAAAAAAATCTCTCGGTTTCCACGATTCAGATAAACAAACTGAAAAACTTGTTCCTGGAAAACCGATGGTCGCCATTCCGCTTAATGTTGACATTTCAACACCTTGTACTCCGACATACAGGATAGATATATCCGATAATCAAGTTCCTCGAAAATGTCATACGCGGAGCTTTATAGGGCAGCAGTTTAAATATTCACTAGGGTGGTGGGCAATCCTATTGATTACTTCGACTACTTTATTGATAACGTTTTAACAATTTAAACGTACGCCCCCCCTTCCCTCCTACCCCCTCTCGGTTTACCGCTCAATTTGTCTCCGCGACGAATATAATTTCGGGTTAAATATTTTATAAGAAAATTGCCGATGAGCAATCGACGGCGTGTCTAAGTCTATCGGCGGTTTATGGATTTTCCGGAGGTTTACTTAAATTATTCACTATTTTCTTATTACGCGTCGTTATAGGTGGATTTTCTGAGGTTCGGCATAGAACAACACAAGGTGGTTGACGAATAAACTCTCGTGGCATGTCATTTCTCGCCGGCGTATGTTGGCTTGACCTATTTCGAAGCCGGGCCAGTTCCAAAGAGGGGGTGAAATACCCCCCAAAGCCCCTAAAACAATTCATGACTTATACAGAGTAATTTCTAGAGTCATTTCAAAAGATATCAAGACATGTCGACGTATAATTTTCTACCTTCTCCGGTTTTCCTCCCCCTGCGATCGATTTCAGTGTTTCGCCTAATGAACAATTACTATTTACTTGTGATGCACTTTTTAGAACCTTTGGTGTAGTAATGGATATTACTGAAGTTCTTTCCGAACACCAAACAGTTTTTTTAACACCCAGACACGTGTTTCGATCACCAAGTGATCATCTTCAAGAGGAAGATCGGTTACGTAAAGATTAAAGACTATTGCCAATATTTCAAATGTTTTTTTGTGTTCGCTTGGATTCGCAACATGGATTTCGAGAGGCCAGTTCAACACAAGATGCAATGATTCACGTAATGAGAGAAATTTACGATTCGATGGATAATGGTAAACCATGTCTTTGTGTCTTTGTTGATCTGGCCAAAGCTTTTGATACGGTTTCGCATAAGAAATTGATAAAGGTAATGAAAAACATCTGTTTCGGAGGGACATCGCTGAAATTATTTGAAAACTATCTCTCTGATAGGAAACAGTGCGTCAAAATAAATGAAACACTCAGTTTTTACTGTACCATAGAATATGGAGTCCCCCAAGGAACTGTATTGGGGCCTCTCCTATTTAATATCTACTTGAATGATTTATTTAGGGTCAATTCGAAAGGTACCATTATTAGTTTCGCTGATGACACCGCCGTACTATATCGCGCTAATACTTGGAAAAAATTGAAGGACAAGGTTGAGAAAGATTTCATAAAAATTGTCAGTTGGTTTAAGAACAGGTTGCTGACAATCTGTATTGATCAGCACTTTGTACCTTTCACTTATTTCAGCAACAACTATCCAAATTATACTTCGTTGGGAATCCATAATGACCATGACACAACGAAATTTAAGTTTTTCAAAAAGATTTTTGACATAGCACAGCTACGAACATTATATTTCAGTCTAGTACCGTCCCATATCAACTATGGAATAATTGTGTGGGGAAGTATTACTGATAATCATATCAGGGTTATCAATGTCACTCAAAAATATTTCATTAAAATTATTTTCAATAGAGATTATACCTATCCGTCTGAAACACTTTTCATGGAATCTAAATTTTTTACATGTAGACATCTAGGTATATTTTCAAAGTTTTGCAATTTATCATAGAAGATATGAAACAAAATTATTGTCTATGGATCATTTGCACAATAGCAGGTTCAAGCAAAAAACCTCAAGGATTCCTAAAGTAAGCACATCTCGAAGTCAAAGATTTCTCACATACTTGTGCCCTATTGCCGATGCAGAAGTTCCATTTGAAATAAAGTCTATTACAAGTGATAACAGATTTGAAAAAGAACTGAAATTATGGCTAACTAATATAACAATAGGTAAGATAAATGAAATATTGGAACGAAAAAAAAATGCAGTTGTGATACAGAAAGAAAAAGCACATGTTGTCACAGAAAAGAATGCATGTAAATATTTACAAGTATAAATGGAAATAATTTCACAATGCATGATCTACACCAGTTTTATACGTATATTTGAACGTTTGGGAAAAATAATAGAGACCATAGTTAAAGAACGTCTGATGAGCTTTATGAATGAATATAGTATTCTCCACAAACATCAATATGGCTTCATGGAAAACAGATCCACAACTGATGCAGTTATGGAAATGATACAAAATGCAATAAACAATGTGGAATATGGCGAACACACCTCTTTAACATTGTGGAATCTGAGCAAAGCATTTGATTGTGTTAATCACAATCTCCTTATCAAAAAACTTGAGTACTATGGAATGCGAGGAACATCTTTAAATTTCTTTATATCCTTCAAGGAAACAAACAGTTTATTTGGAAAGTACTCTGTCAGATACAAAAATTATGTCTCATGGCATCCCTCAGGGGTCTGTTCTGGGACCTACATTATTTGTTATCTACATAAATGACATTTTCGACTATATGCTTCCCAAAACAATAATTTGCTTTGCAGACGATACGACAATGCTTAATGAAAGTTCCGATATTGACGTTATATTGAAAGTAAACCAAGAACTGGAAGAAAGGGCGGAAAAATTGTTTTCACGAAACAAGTTGAAGCTAAATAGGGGTATTATATCATTGAATAATCGCTTAACAAATAACAATCATGTTAAACTTCTTGGCATAACTGTCGATGATTCACTGAAATGGGAAAATCACATTGAAATGTTGTGTAAAAGACTATCCAGCCAACTTTATCTACTTCGTAAGCCGAGGAAGGTTCTGAGCACCCAAACACTAATAACCCTCCTTCATTCACTATTCCACTCTCACCCAACATATGGTGTACTCCTATGGGGTAGGTCTTCCTATGTTCTCAGAGCATTCCGTATGCAAAAAAAAGCTCTCAGGATTATAGCAGGTGTCCCACTTCATGAACATTGCCAACCACTTTTTGTAAAATATTTTCATGTTTTAGATGTTGTGCTGAACCATCACAAATTTTACTGTCTTTTTTATTTATACACAACTTTGTACATTGTACCATTGTTTCCTGACTTGTCATAAATGTAATTTACATACAACATGGTCAAATAAATATATCTATCATCTATGTTTTAATTTACATATGTCATTATTGTTCACTATATTATGTACTGTTGCAATATTTTTGAACAAGGACTTATAAAATAGACAGCAACTCTACAAAGTACAGTCATCAAGAACCACATTAAGAACAGAACATTGGATGAAATATAAGACTTATGAATTTCAATTACTCTACGAATATGCTGTATGAATGATGAATGTTATGACCGATAGTTTAGTTTGTAATGTTGTTTGTTCACTGATTCATGTTCATGATATTTTCATTTATTTTTCCATTTCAACTGACATCTTACAAAGTACAAAGTACATTCATCAAGAACCACATTAAGAACAGAGCATTGGATGAAATATAAGACTTATGAATTTCAATTACTCTACGAATATGCTGTATGAATGATGAATGTTATGACCGATAGTTTAGTTTGTAATGTTGTTTGTTCACTGATTCATGTTCATGATATTTTCATTTATTTTTCCATTTCAACTGACATCATACGCAAAACGTCTTAAATTAGTTTATTGTTTCAGGTTTTTTTTCGTCATACACAAGCTCTATGAGCTTCAGTAGCTTGTCATGTTTATTTCTGCATGTTTTCTTATTTATATGCATATGTATTCAATCTTATGAAATAAACATTATTTTAATTCCCACCTTAGTGTGTGCTGGTCAGGCCCTATCCCCCGAAGCCCCGATACATTCGGGAGGGCGCGCCAGCATTATCAACCAATGACTACTCCCCCACCGTGGGGTAAGTGATCATTGGGTCCGAGAATCATGTGCCCTGAACATTATTATTATTATTCATTTGTTTCCCTTTCAGGTCATGACTACTACTTCATCTCCACCTCGACGAGCGACGACTTGCACCGGAGGATAGGCGGCCGGTGTACGACTCACAACATGAAGATCGTCTTCAAGGTGTGGGGCCCACCTCAGGCACCCATCACCAGCCCTCCGCCCCCCGTGACGTCGAAGCCTTCGTGGTGGTCGGTGACGGCGCAGCGCACGACGACGTCGTCCACCACCTCGTCTACCACGACAAGCCCTCCGACGACAACCACGAAAAAGTCCAAGACTTATAACAAACACCCCAACGAGGTGGTGAAAAGTGAAGAACTGACTCTAGGCGGCGCTACGTGCGGCGCCAATGTCGTGATGGTCGCGGTGTGCGCGTTCTCGTTGGTGGTGTTTGCGTTTCGATGAAATTTCTGAGCCTTTTCGAGACTCGATGTGTTCTCCCTCTGCCCTCCTCCCTTTTGTACGGCTATTATGTAAAATGTCCGGACTATACGTCTTCGGTGACCTAAAACTATCCTAATTTATATAAATGAATATGAGAGTAATTGGTATCCGTGGATCGCCCCGAAACGGTTTCCAAGCGGTATCTGGGTTGGTTGCGAAGGAATTTCGGTTTCCGTCGGAGAACTTTTTTCTGAGCTTGGCAAGCCAGGAGAAATCAGGTTCTTCGAATTTATCGAGTAATGTCACACCAATAGTTGTGTCCTTGAATATTTTGGGAAAAAAATCGATTGAGAAATGTTTACTTTTTTGAGTAATGCCCCATTGAATAATTTTAAAATTTGTAGATGAGTTCTTTAAAGGGCAAATACCAACATGAGTAAGCCGCAAAATTGAGGAATTCCTTGTTGAATATTCAATCTTTGACGAAGCTCATGGTGTCTACAAACCAGTGTAAACATTAAAGTAATTGACAAAATGGTTTAGACTTTTGCGGCTGAGGTTTTCAGTGTCACTGTTTTTCGAGTTTGAAAGCCGTGGATTTTTGGAATTTCTTCCTGACGTTTCGTTGGCGCGAGTTGCTAGCTTCTTCAGAGGTTTAACCATCATAGCTTGCTGCCCGATAACTAACTTTTAGGCTTCGTAAAGCGTATTTATGCCTTGTCAGGTAATCAGTTGTATTGGTACCTGTATTTGTACCTGTACTTGAACCTGGAACATTAACAATCTTGCAACAGGCAGCAAGATTGTTAATGTTCCAGGTTCAAGTACAGGTACAAGTTCAGGTTCAAGTACAGGTACAAATACAGGTACCACTACAACTGATTACCTGAAAAGGCATAAATACGCTTTACGAAGCCTAAAAGTTAGTTATCGGGCAGCAAGCTATGATGGTTAAACCTCTGAAGAAGCTAGCAACTCGCGCCAACGAAACGTCAGAAAGAAATTCCAAAAATCCACGGCTTTGAAACTCGAAAAACAGTGACACCATTAAACTAATTCCATCGTAAACCTTCAGGATAAATAAAAAAATTGATTGTTTAGATAAATTTATACAGAACTATTAGTTTTGACAAAAGCTCTCTGACTCAGTTTTAAAATTTAAATACTCTAATGGTCATTTTCGGCACGAAGACACTGTCTAGAGCGATCAATTTATTCACCTTCGCTTCATGAAGCTGAAATTATTTCCATTGGGATCTCCAATAAGTACAAGAAATGTTTTCATAAATTTCTGAATATTTTCGAAAAAAAAGCTTTTGGAAATACAGATAATGGAAATATTGCTCTTTTTGTAGGAGATTCAATATTAAAATTATCTGAAAATAAAAAAAACTTTCAGGTTTCACTTGAAACATCCAATTAGTTTTTAATAAATGATATTTCTGAAGTTTGTAATTTTCAGTGTTTTGTTTCATTGAAACGGGAAAGAAAATTGAAACCATTAGTGGATTAGGACGTCCTTGTTTCACAAAAGAGGAAAATCTCTAGAAGACATGCAAATTGGAGAAATTTTTATTCAAAACTGTGGAGAAGACAAATAATGATTATATTAAAAACGTCCCCTCCATATCTAGAGTACATTGTACAGCTTTTTTTGACATACAAAGCACAAAATTTTGAGGGAGAAGAAAAAATATGGGAGTATTCAAATATGGACTAGTATTGGTGTGACAAAAAGAATATTAATGAACTTATTTTTGAAACACTCGGAATTACTTACTCATATCAACTTGAGTTATTGAATTTTCTGTCAAAGAATTGTGATATATTTTTTTATAGACCTTGTTGTATGAACTGGTTCTCCGTCTGAATTTGATCTTGCTTTCTGTCAACTGTGATACAGGTGCGGGAGGCCTAGGGCGATACACCCTGTATATATTGGTAACTATTAATTGGTAAGGTAAATTATTTTTTTAGTCATTGGAATTTTACATTTCCAAAATCGGTCAATATTTTATTGAATTATTTTACATTGTTTTTTAGTGGCCTATCAACATTGAATTTCAAAAAAAAATCGGAGATGGGATCTTAATGATACAAAAAAGTGAAGAGTTACAAAATTTTTATAGCCAAAAAAAGTGACTGTTTTCACCAGTCAATTTTACTTGTGTTGAATTTTTTTCATGACAAAAAAGTGATAAAGACCCATCTCTGCCTTACAATTTTTTCTTTGCAATATAAACAGTGATATTTTGTTGTCTTGAAAACTACCTGAAAATTCTTTTTGATAAATATAGGGTGAGCCTTCTAGAGAAGAACGTCTCAATAATAATCTTGCTGTTGCAATTGTTTTCGTTTCTAATTTCCAATGATGAACTGAGAGTTCTAGTTCTCTAACACCCTATAGTAGTACAAGCAAAAGAAAATGTACTGAGTGCAGGTAATAATAATGGAAATATCATAGAACTATCTACATTTTTTATTAATTCAACCATGGTCTTTCAAAAAATGTACTCTTTGATTGGCGATTATCAAGTGTAAATAAAATCATATTCGACATTTCAATTTTGGTTCCACCATAATTGAATGCATTACAACTACTAAATTCGTTGATTATTTTTCATTATACATTATTGTAATTTTCATCAACCTGCCAAAGGTACATTTTCTTTTTCATTCAATCCAAGGATTCCTCTCCCCACAAAAAACAAATGAATGCTGAGCACACTTCTAGTAAATTCTGTTTCTCATTATTTGGTGCTTAATGCAGTGATATTTTAATTGAGTGCATGATAATTAGGAACAGATGGTGCTAGTCAGCTCGTTTATTTTTTGTGTGCAGTGGTTTCAAGGTCGCAAGGTCAATCACTTTGACAGCCGCGAATTAATAACGCAGGGCGACAAAATTTTGAAAGGAGAGAATAGACAATATCTTACGAAAAGCTTTTTGTGTACTGAATCCCAGGTCAAAATGAATGGAAGGGCATATTTGATGTTATATCATATTGCTTGATTTCTTCTGAATATTTCAATTTTCAAAACCCATTTCTAGTTTTCCAGGATCTTATTTCGTTTTGAGGAAATAATCGACTCTCGAAACTTTAAATATCCATTGCTACAAACCTTAAACCCTGAACTCTCAGAAACCTATATCTTCAAACCCCAAAACCCAAAACTCTATATCATGGAGGTACTACAAAATCCCATAATACCAAATCTCTAACCTCAAACATAAACTTCATGTCCCAAAAACTCATATCTGCAAAACACATAACCCAAATCCCATAATCTTGAATCTCTCAATTCCAAACCTCCTGATCCAGTAATACCAAATCTAAATCAGTCTAACCTGGCAACTCCAAACTTTTAATACCCAAACTCCATATCTCCAAAAACCCATTACCCCAAACTCTATACTCTGTAAAATAAAACCCAATAATTTCAAATCTCTTAACCCCAAACCTCTCAATCGAGTAACTCGGGAGAGTCCATTTTGTACACGTTTTCTAGTTGTGTGAATGTCAGTCATCTGGAGTACATGCATTGCAATGTTGTTGTTCGCTGAGATACAATAAATATTGTACATGTGTATTGGACAAGTTTGAGGTATTTAAGGTATCACTTCGAGTGAGACATCCTGAATATCACAGAAAAGATGATGATAGAATCACCAGACCGGCAAAATGCTGCAGCAGCAAAAACATAATGGAATGAGCAAATATAATGCAAGGAAGCAATCCAGTAATCCCAAACCTCTCAACTCTTACCACAATAAAGTCTAACCTCCTAATTTTCAGCTTTCAACCTGGAACTCCAGTCATGATGTTTTAAGTTACATCATTTGGAGCTTTGGAGGTTTAGGATAATCACATTCAGGCTTATAGGGTTTAGTTAACAGGTGTGGGGTATTGGGTTTGGTCAGGAGTTTAATTTAAAGATTTATGGAAATATAATAAATATCAATCAACTATTTGAGGCGAAATGAGATCTGAAAAATATGAACAGTTTTGAGGTCGGATTCAGTACACACCAAAAGCTTTGGGAAAAGTCTGGTTTCTCTTTCCGATAAATGTTAGCTTGCAAACTTTTTGATAAATACTGGCCTAGTCAAGAGTTTTAAAGAACAAAGTTCGCCTAGCCTCTGATGAGAAACCTCGAAAAGGTTGGCCTAATGATATTTGTATAGTAAGTAAAATTTCAACGACCAAATTTAGACAATATCCTAATTTTTATTGCCGTTTTCCTTTCTTTGAACGAATTGGTGGTGTACAGTTTTCTATATAAGTTTTGGTGTTGATATGAACCCGATAATAATTTTTTATGCGTAGTAAAAGTAAATGAAAACAAATTGAAGCGCATAGTGACCAATTCCGAACTGAAAAAAAAAGAAGAAAAAATGTGTAAATGTTATATTTTTCGGTCAGTTGATTGTTTCTTAGTATATGAACAGTGTTGAACATTTGAAATAACCGCGTATTTGTATAACTGTGAAGACTGAAATTAGTTTTTATTGTGTTATATACGAAGTATTATCCTTATAGAATACGAGTCCTGGCGTTTTTAGTCATCTTACTTTTAACTGCAGATCCATTTTGTGCTAGTACTTATTTTTGTGTAAGGTTGTGACTTTTTTGGGCAAGGTGAGTGGATAATTCATATACCATTGAGATGAATGATGTTCGTTTTGTGTTCTTGAGTTGAGGAAAAAAAATCAACTGTGAAATATTGCAATTTTGATGTCATGGTGATATAATTCAAATTTGGCAAAGTCGGGAAGCTCAATTTGCAAAGTACAAAATCCTTATATAGCAACCTTGTTTAGTTTCAGTTGTCTTAAATTTTATTGTGTCACAAAAGTTCTTGTCGAGTGGAATCATTTTTACCAGAAAATATCTCACACATAGTTCGAGTTGCAAGAAACTCTGATTGAAACCTTTTTTTTTGTACATGACTTTTTTTAACGAAATTCTTTCGGGAACTCTTCACAGGAATGTTTCAACATTTTCTATTTGCAAACACCTATCATTTTTACTATTGAATATTTTTTGGGGTTCGAACACAAAAAATTTAGTGGTTCAATATGTGAGACGTTATCTCCAATTTGTCAAAGAATCAGATTCATTCTATTGGATAATTAATTGCTTCGAAGTGTCGTTGTATTTTTTTTATTGAACACCATAAGTTTAGGAAGTGTTTGACTCCCTTCAAAAATAAACTCTTGTTTCTTTTCGAAGTATTTTTGAAAATATTAGAATACATAATATTGCTGAAACAAAGTAGGCGGTTCAATATGTAAAGAGCGTTTCAAAATTATAACCCATTCCCATTTGTCCAGCCTTTTGATTTACTTTGTTGAGCTCCAAATTCAAATACATCATTTCCCAGTAAAGTTCAAATGAATAACATATACTCTGGAAGTATGAATATTTTTTCTGTAGAATTAACCCCTTCGCCAATTGTATTTTAGAATTACCCATTTTAAATAATACTAAAAGTTATTTTGTTCGGTTCAACTTGAGAGGGGATTTTTTTTTGAGATACTAAATACTCATCACAGTGGAATACCACAAT